AGAAAATCCTGGAGCAGGTAAAGAAGCTGCTCCAAACAGCAGCAGTTCTTTTAAACTGCTGACTTTGCATCCTCGGAACACCCTTCAGTGACCCAGGAGAAGCCCAAGTTGTGATGGAGCTGTGCTCATGTTAAAATTGGGTAGAAAATGCATTTGAGAGTGTCTTATTTTTACTACAATTTTCAGAATAGTTTTTAAAATATTTTTTAAATGTGTGGTTAGACTCAAATGCGTATAGAACCCGTCCAACATCATCTCTACCAGATAGGATGGCTCAGATGTGTCCCTTTCACACACGAGGAGGAGACCCAGGGTCAGGGAGGGGCTTGATGGACCCGAGTCCTCCCAGTGGGTGGTTGTCTGGCTCACCGCCTGGACTGGGCACCACGATCTCTCAGCTCCATGAGAGCATCACTGATGTCCCTGGCCCAGGATTCCCATCAGACCCCCCTCAGCCAACCCTATTCCTCTATCTCCTCACCCCGCTACCCCCGCCTGCTCCCGCCCAACCCACCAAGCAGCGGGTGCGCTGATCAGCAAGGCAGGAATTCAGGCTCTGCAGCTGTCTTGGGAGCCCGGTGGCAGCCACGCTCCACAGTTGTCTGCCAGGCGGGTGGGGCAGGAGCCCCCCTAGTCTCCTGGCCCCCAAATGCAAGGCTGTTGTGGGGGAGGGGTCTCCAGAGTCAAAGCAGACTTCAGGCTCCAGTAATTGCTTTTATTTGCATAAGACGCTGCTTCCCCACAGCCTTCTGGATGGAGGCTGCTCGGCAGCCAGTCTCTCCCCACAGTGTGGGGTCAGGATAGGGACATGAGAAAGCCCTCTTCCCCTCCTTGGTCAGCTTTCTCTTCTCAGCTGCCAGTGCCTGATCCTTGCCCTGGGCCCTGACTGCACTCAGAAATGACAGTAGATTATGTGGGGGCACGGGGTGACCCACGAGGACGCTCAGTGCATGGGCGATGGAGTGTGAGGATGGTCCCTTGGGCTCTGGGTGCAGAGAACCCAGGCCTGGAGGTGGGGCTGTGCCGCTTACCCGTTGTGTCATCTTGGACTTGTGGCTTACCCCTTCACAGCCTGTTTCCCCATTTTAAAAATGTGGTAAACGACCTGATGCACAGGGCCGTTGAGGGGATGCAAAACAAGCAGTGGAGGCAAGAAGCTTCACAGCCACTCGGGGTGGCAGCTCCTGTTGTCACAACTGCTCTCGATTTGTTTTGCTGTTAATGAGTCGCTATCGGATCTCCGTTGTAGATGGCCATCTCTGGGTTGTGGATGGTCCTGATGTCCCTCAACAACTCGTCCAGGGCAACTCTGGACTACTGAATGTCCCCAGTCTGGGGGAAGGATCAGACACAGGCCCGGAAGAGCAGGCTTTGTGAGCAAGCCACAGGCAGAACCATCCAGAGCCGACAGAGGATGGGGGGGGCACCTGCCGCCCCTTTTCGCCTGGATGCTCAGCGCTCTGTGATGCAGCCTCCAACTGGCTCCCAGAGTGACAGAAATGGGTTGGAGCCCTTCGTTGCCGTGGATCCTTGGCATGGCTTCTGTGGCAGCCCACATTTCCCGAGTGGCTCTTTGCCAGGCTGGCATCTTGGCTGCTGGGCTGTGCCAAGATCTGTATACAAATCCTGTGGGCTTGGAGAGAGGGCGCCATGCAGTCTTCAGGGCAAAGTAGTGGCAGGAGCCCCAGCCCTTACGCCAGCTCTCTCACGCACACATGCACACGCACGCAGGCACACACGCACACTGGGAAGGTAGGAACAATCTGCTCAGGTGTCAGTTTAGTTGTGCTCAATCCACTTCCATTCCTATCCATGGTTGTCAGCGCCTCTTATTTGCAGGGTCTGCTAGATACAATAGGAACAGAGAGAAAAGTGGGACAGAGCCCCCTAGGATCTTCCTGTTGAGTCAGGGGCTTTAACAAAGGCTGATCGCCCCAGCATGAAATGGCGCGTGAGGTCTTCAAGAGCGGGGCAGGGCTGTGTGGGACTACGGAGTGGGGAGCGCATCTAATTGGGAGACTGAACAAGGCTTCCTGGAGGAGAGGACATTTGGGACGGGTCCCAGAGGATGGGCAGGATTTGGACAGAAAGAGATGGGCATGAAGGGGAGAGCTTGCTCCAGGCAGAGGGAACAGCCGAAGCCAGAATAGAGAGACAGGAAAGACAGGGTATGTTTGGGCCCAGGGAATAGTCTCAGTTGGCTGTGAAGGGGAGGAAGTAGGAGTTGGGGCTGCAAAGCTGGGTTGGGGCCACATTATACAAGGTCTGGAGTGTCAAAGTGAGGAGTCTGTGGTTAAATGAGAGGCAACAGGGAGCCAAAGATTGTTTTGAGCCGGTGGGGGTCACGATCGGAGTAATCTGGCAGCAGTATGGGCTAGGTCTGGGGACAGAACAGTGTTGTTAAGGTCTGGGGAGAGGGATGGTGCCCCCGTGGGTGCACCAGCACTGCACGCTGAGATCCCTTCCTCCCTGCCCCAGGCCGGCTGCCTGCATGACTTGTGGGGTGCAGAGGGAAGGAGGGAACAAGGACGGTGCTAAAGTTGGGGCTCCTGGGCACAATGAACAGACCCATGGCCACTGGCAGAGGCTTGGCTGGCAACAGGATTTCAGTGGGAGAGAGAGATGGCAAGTATGGGTGGGGTCATGTTAACGGGGGAGTGTGGGGGGTGGAGGGGGGAGTGTGGCTGGGCTTCATCTCCTGGCTCTGCAGGGGAGGTGCTGTCCTCTGAGACCAGTGCCCAGACTACTCACCGAGCTCAGAGGCTGGCTCTGAGAGTCATTGACTGGCCTAGTGTGTGTGCACAGGGACAGAAGCTACCCGTACATGCCCATGAGTCTGTCCACCCCTCAGCCCTCTGCCAAGCCTCATCCGGTCTCTTTTCTGTCCTTTTCGGGTGTCCTATCTTGCTCTTCTCTACCCCACGACAGGGGAGTTCATTCACTGGCCTATGTCCCAAAGGTTCCCTCTTGATGGGGGCGCTCTGTGGGCTTCTGCCTGGCTATCGATGTCCCTGCAGGACAGAAGGGCAGGCTGGGTCACAGCATCCGACGTAGACTCAGAGCCTTTCCCAGTCACAGGAGGAGAAGGGCGAAGTCTGCTAAGTTCCAGCCTGGAGAGCAGCCCGCATCCGCCTCAGGCCTGGAAACAGGGTTCTCAGGTCCCTGGGAGCAGAACGATGCTTGACGGACAGGCCTTTCTGATGGGCGCCCTCCTCCTGCCAGCTGCCTCAGGAGTTCAGGGGTGCAGGCTGGGCTGCGTGGGCACCAGCCTCCAGAACCCTTATCAGGGAAGGGCTGGGGGGAGGCTGAGAGGCAGCAGCCTCCTGTTGCTGGTGAGCCGGACAGGAAAGCAGGGCTGCAGAGGTACAGTCTTGGGAGTGGATGAGTGTGTGAGGACATGGGGGTTGTCACCACAAGCCCGTCCCTGAGTCCCACACAGCTAACAGAGGCTCTGCCTGGATACCCAGGTGGCTCCTGCGATAGGGCACGAGATGGGGGGCAGGGGGTGATGGGAAAGCCCCTGTTTCTCCGCCCATGATTCTAGGAAGGGCAGAGCTGTGGGCAGTGGAGGCCAGGGCCCCGGCGTCCCAGGGGACCAGGACAGGAGGAAGGGAGAGCAAGATGAAGGGCTGCTCGTGAGCAGGCGAGGCGGGGGGGCGCTGTTCCCCTCCCCCTCTCAGGATGGGTCACCTGGTGGGGCTCCAGCCTCCCCACCCCGCCTGCCCTCCCCTCACTCAGGGTTGGCTAACGGTGAGCTGGGGTGGGATGGTCAGGGTGGGGGCTGCGGGAACCGAGAGGGCTGGATGGAGAGATGCCCGAATCGTTGCTGGCCCACCAAACTTCCTCAGCCCTGGACAGCTCCCTGGCCACAAATCACAAGGAAATGGTTGTGTAAGCGCCTTCAGGAGCCTAATGGAACACACAGGAGGCCCAGGGAGGCCATGAAAGTTCCATCAGCCTGGCTAACCTGGTGCTGCACTTGTCTGGACCCAATGAGTCTGGTGCAAGGCGGGGGCAGGAAGTGATCTCCAGAGTTCGGCAGACACCCTCACTGTCCCCACCCGCCGCAGGTGCCTCAGCTGGGAGGTGCTCTGGACCCTCCAGGGGTCCGCTTCTTCCTCGGGTGGGCCGGGAGAGCACTGGGTCCCCTGAGGAGGCCCCACTTCCGGTATGGGATGGGGGGCTGTCCCGCTCTGCAGGAACCAGTCAAGCCTCCAAAGCCAGCCCAAGGCCCCTCAGGCCCAGGGACAGCACCACGTCAGAACCTGCCCGGACCTCAGGAAAACAGAGGGGCAAGGACAGAGCACAGGGACAGTCTCCCAGGACGGTCCTGGGACAGCCATGTGGGGGTTCAGAGCACACGCATGGCCGTTACATAAACGCCGCTTACTAGGTGTGACTCGACCTCTCTGAGCCTTACCTTCCACTTCAGAAGATCATTGGAGCAGCTTCAGAGAGCCGTTGAAAGGGCCGCGGTACAAATGCCCATGCGGCCCTGCGTGTGGCGCGGGCTCAGACCTCTCACTCCATCTGTTTGAATCCAGCCTGCGAGTGAAGGCTCAGGGACTAGAGGCGTATTTCTGAGGTCAGAGGGGCTCGGTGCCTTCCAGGGGACGTGGCGAAGGGCAGAGGTTGTGCAAAGAAAGGAATTCCAGACTAATCTGGAACCTGAATGCTGCTTCAACTATTTGACCCGGGGGTTCTTCCTCAGCCTTGGCCCTGGGGTCTTTCCGGGCCGGTGAGTCTGTTGGGGGGCCGTCCTGCGCGTTGGAGGGTGTTTGGCAGCATCCCTGGCCTTCACCCACTGGAGCCAGCAGCCCTGCCCAGTTCCGACAACCAGAAATGTCTCCAGACGTTGCCAAACGTCCCCTGGGCGGCAAAGTCCCTCCCTCCCTGTTGAGAACCACCGGGCTGTCACACTGTGGGTGAGGGGATTCAGGGGTGCGGAGGAGGAGGCGGGGGGCTGCCGGCTGCTCCCTCACGGCGCTGCTTTCCTACAGGGAGGGGCCCATGGCTGGGCTCCCCGCACACGTGACCTCCATGCTCTTCCTCGCCCTCCTGCTGCTCCTGGAGCTGAGCCTGGTAGACTCCCTGGGACCCGAAGCCCCTGCTCGGAACCTCCCTGAGAATCACATCGACCTCCCGGGCCCAGCACTGTGGACGCCTCAGGCCAGCCACCACCGCCGGCGGGGCCTGGGCAAGAAGGAGCGGGGCCCAGGCATGCCCGGCCTGGCCCAGGATGGAGCTGTGGTCACTGCCACCAGGCAGGCCTCCAGGCTGCCAGGGGCAGGGGGGCTGCTGCCTGGGCAGAGGCCTGCTGGCCTGCTGCAGGGCAAGGATCTGCTCCTGGGCCTGGCACTGCCCGACCCTGAGAAGGACAACCGGTCTCCAGGGTCAGAGAGGACAAAGAAACGCGGCAGGGAGCACAAGAGACGCAGAGAGAGGTTGAAACTGCACAGAGGTAGCTCGGGGTCTGCGAGGGGGTGGGCTCCTGCAACGGAAAGGAGGGGTGGGGGCGGAGGTGGAGGGGCTCAGACCCAAATGGCCAAGCGGACAGGATAGGGAGGCGGGGAGGGAGGTATCAATGGTGTAAAGTCCCTGGGAAGACAGCCAGAGGCCCCAAGGAGGCAGGCAGAGGACACTCAGAGCGGAGTGGTTTCACTAAAGTCACAGGGATCCCGTAAGGGGAGGAGGCTGGGAGAGGTCTGGGGGTGGAGCATGGGAGCAGGAGAAGGATATGGGGCAAGAGGAGCTCACTCTTATCAACAGATGATCCTCCTGAGTCAGGAAGTTCTACCTTGTGTCTGACCTAAATCCATCCTACTGTAAGTCCTGAGCAGAGAGGGAACAGTTCAGTGCCCTCCAAGCACATCACTTAATCAACTCTGAAGCACAGAGCAGGGCCCAGGGGCTCAGACCCTGAAGCCAGATCTGCCCAAAGTCAGGTCTTGACTCCACTACTTACTAGCTGTGTGGCCCTGGGCGAGTCACCTTTCTGTGCCTCAGTTACGCCTTCTGCAAAATGAGGATAGAGGCCCCGTGTACGCTCAGCGTAGACTCAGAGATGACCTGACCTGTAGAATGTCGAGGACAGTGCCCCATAAGTGCGGGGCAATGAGCGGTTGTCACTGGGTGATTCTCAGCTTTCTCTTGATGCTGAATCAGTGTCCTCCGACCCGGACACAGGCAGCCCAAGGAGAGGCACCACGTCCTTCTCCCTCCTGCCTCTGCCCTGTTTGTTTCATGGGTGCCCCCTCCCCCCGCAGCCCTTCTCTCCTTCCTTTAACTTTCCTCCATGTTCCCAGATCACTGGGAACGTAGCCGCCCGCTGGCCCAGCCTCTGAACAAATGTGTCCCAGCAGCTCCGCCCCGAGGGCCCCTCCCGTCTTACCTGGCACCCAGCCCGCGGCCAACCTCAGCTTCCCAGTCTCTTCATGTGACAACACTGCCTCTAGGGGCAGGCCGCGCGCCACAAACAGGGATGGGGGCGAGGGTTCTGCGGGGGGAGTGTGATGGGGCCTCAGCCTCCCTTCTCCTGCAAGCAGCTGAGGTTAGCTTCCCTGCCAGGCCTACTGAGACCCCCCAAGTGGGCAGGACACAGTCGGGGGACCCCAGCTTAGACTCTCAGCCTCCCGGACCTGGGGGTCATGAGTCAGGTTAGGGAGGGGACGCTGGCATCCTTAAGGACAAACGGGGGGCACACACGGGGCATGGACTCAACCCAGCTCAGCTCCAGCCCCCAGCTCCCATGGACCAATGGGACGCTCCCAAGAGAGCGGCGAGGGGTGGCAGGGATGGCGGGGGCCTTGAGGCCAGGTCCAGGCCTGCTGACCAGCTGTGAGGCCTCGGGCGGACGAGGCCTCAGTTTCCTTGTCTGTGAAATGAATGGAGCAGATTCAGTGGTCACTCAGCCCCCTTTCTACTCCCTGGGGCTCATTTCTGGAGGGTGGGGTGACCCCAAGTGACACAACCGACCTTGAAGTCAGATCTTGCCTGAGAAAAAGAGACAAGGATGAGCTTGGGCCCTCCAGGTTCTCTCAAAGCCCTTTTGTTCCTGACACCCCGAACCCACACACTCTTCCCCCACTTCTTCATGCCCACACGTCTTGGAATTTGGAACTGGTGGTGAAAATCATTGGCTTTGCACTCAGAAGGACCTGAGTTTGAATTCAGACTGTGCTACTCACTAGCTGTGTGCCCTCAGGCAAGTCACCTAACCTCTCTGTGCTTTAGTTTCCTCACCTGTAGATGAGGCTGACGGAGCAGCCACCTCCGGGAGCTCCTGCAATGGTTAGACGAAATAATGCTTGCAAAGCAGGACGTGGCACACAGCAGGTGCTCAGTGCACAGGGCGATGATGACCACCACATACGGAGCACTCACTCGTGTGTGCAAAGCTTCAGCTCTCACCTTCCAGCCTTCTCAAAGGCCTCTCCCCTGCCGTGCCTCTCATCCTCATCACGTTGCTCCCCTACTTAAACTTCACCTCCTCCAGGAAGCCTTCCACGGTTAATCCTACTAGTTCTCATTTGTTGCCCTTATAGCCCTGGCTGCACGCAGCCAGCCCAGATTGGGACCTGCTGGAATGTTGCTTTAGAGGGAGAATCCTTGGGCCATCTCCCCAGCGACACTGCAAGTTCATCTAAGATGTTCTCCCCTAGTCCCCCATTTTCTCCTACCCAGGAGGGTAGGCACAGGGGTGTTGGCTGGGCCAATGGCTTGTCACATGGTCTCTGCCGGCCCCTGGTTTGCAGCAGGAAATGTGGGTTCTGCTGTGTGCAGATACTGGGTGGCCAGCTGATGAAGCCCCTGTGTTTCCCACCCTGTGTCTCAGGCCGAGCCTTGGTCCGAGGTCCCAGCTCCCTGATGAAGAAGGCGGAGCCCGCTGAAGACCAGGCCCCCGACGCGGCGATGGAGGAATCCTCCACCAGCCTGGCCCCCACCATACTCTACCTCACCACCTTTGAGGCAGCACCCGCCACGGAAGAGTCCCTGATCCTGCCCGTCACATCCCTGTGGCCCCAGGTGAGGAGTCCAGGATGGCCTTGGGGCTGGAAGGGCCCTTGAGACCACATCGTGCAATGCCCCCGGTAGTACATTTGGGGAGACCGAGGCACAGGGGCTGGAGGGAGTTGTGGAGGCCACTGGGGCTGGATGGAAACCAGACCTCCTGAGGCCCGTGCAGCCCAGCTCCAGCCGGTGGGCACTCCATCCCGAATTGCTGCCACTGTCCCGGCAGTGGTTCTGCAGGCTGACTCTGGGGACAGCCAAGGGAGCAAGTGTCGGCTCAGCACTCTGGTCTCTGCGGCGAGAAGAGCAAGGCCCTTGGGGGAGAGTTTTACACATACCGAAAAGTACGGAGAATAAGAATAACAATTTTTAAAACTGTATCCCACGACCCAGAATTGACAAACATTAGTTAACACTTTGATCCACGTGCATCAGACCTTTAAAAAAGACCCGCGGAGGGAACGCAAGGAGGAAAGGCGGCAGATGCGCTAGGCATCAGCGATTGCCTGTGAAGGGCGTAGAGGGGTGAATGGCAGCATTCTTGCAACTAACAAGAGGGGCATCCTTGCAACTCTTCTGTGGCTTTAAAATTCTTTCAAAATAAAATCATTTATGATGATCAATAAAATACATATGTAGAGGAACTAAAACTTTTGGGGGGCAGTAGATCTTTCTTCTCTTTGTGGCTCGCGCACCCCCTTGACTTTCTATTAAGAGCCGTAGACCAGCTCCAAGGAATGCGTGGCCGTCACAGGCCCCCAGAAGCCCATTTGTTGAGAACCCAGCCCTGGAAGGTGCCATCTTTGCCCACATCCCACTGTGTGCAGATCCAGCCCGCAGACCACTGGCCAGGGCTTCGAGGTGAACTGAGCCGTGGCCATGGCCCCAGTGATGCCACGGAGAGCCCATAACTGCTGTGGGAAGAGAGGGGGTGGGGAAGGGAGCAGTGTGCTTGATCCCGCTCCCTCTGCACGAGTGTAGAAAACCGGAGCAGGCACCACTGCCTTCCCAGCCCCTCCTCAGAGGGCCTGAGGGATCACTCGCCTGTCTGCATCCCCTGCCCCTGGGCACCATCCCACTTGAGTGGTGGCTACACAGTAAGGAAACTGCCGACACGGCTGCTGGAGCAGGAGCCCTGGGCGGTCGTCTCCATGTCCCTGGGCTGGGATTCCAGGCTGCCCAGCAGAGGATGAGCTGGCCTCTGAGGAGCCCCACCGTCCTGCTTCCACCTGTTGGGAGCTCCAGGTTCCCTCCTCTCCACCCTCCTTCTGCAGGCTCAGCCCAGGCCTGACGGGGAGGTGATGCCCACACTGGACATGGCCTTGTTCGACTGGACCGATTATGAAGACTTGAAACCTGAGGTCTGGCCCTCTGCAAAGAAGAAAGGTACATCCACCCACCCGGCCACCCCATGGCCGGTTCCCTCCCCTCCTCTCCCATCTGTTGTGGGGGGGCTCAGTGAGCCCGGCCTGACCTATGGATGTCCCGACTTGGGGGGCATGGAGTTTAGACTGCAACTGGCCCCCAAAACAGAAGATGCTATGAGTGCTTATCACATGCCACTTTCCATGTATCAACTCATTTTACCTTGAAAAACAAATCTGTTAGGTCTGTACTAGTGTCAACCCCATTTTAGAGAAGAGAAGACTGAGGCAGAGAGAGGTGTCGAGTCTTGTCCGAGCCACACTGTCCAAGTGGCAGCATGAACACTCGGTCTCCGCATCCATGTGCTTGATCTCTGCTCGGCCGGGCCGCAGCTTCTGACGGCACATCTCCTTGTCCCCAGAGAAACACCGGGGGAAACTCTCCATCGATGGTAACGAAACATCACCAGCTGAAGGGGAGCCGTGCGACCATCACCAGGACTGCCTGCCAGGTACCAAACCAGCACATGTTCAGCGCAGCAGGCCGGGCGCTGGTGGGGACCCGTGTAGGGTGGAGTGGACATTCCCAGGCACGTGAGCAGGCCTATGGCCCGTGACCCTTTAGGGATGCTGATAACAACCACCCCAGCTACCATGTTACTGAGCGTTGCTGTCATGCTTTACTTTACTGAATCCTCACTGCAACCCAGAGAAAGAGACCCCGTCATCCCCAATTTTCAGGCAAGGAAATCGAGCCCCAGAGAGGCAAGTGTTTTGGTCGGAATCACACAGCTGGGAAGTGGCTCACAAACCTTAGTCTGCGTGGTTCTTAACCACTGCCCCTCGCTGCCTGGCGTCAGCATGACCCCCCCTCACCTGCTTCCTCCTAACTTCTGGTCGGGCTTAATTCTGTCCTTGTCCCATCACCACGCCCCTGAGCTTCTGGGGGCACTTTAGATGACATCTTCACCTGCTGAGCAGCTGCGCCCATCAAGACAGTCTGAAAATAAGGTGTCTGATGTTTTGACTGGTGTCCTAAAGCCTGGCCCTCGCTGGGTCAGTGGGGACCTCTAGGAAGTGGACACTGAGGTGGAGTTAGAAGTGCAGGGGGTCTGTGGGGTGGGGGGTGGGCATAAGGCCTGTGGACAATAAAAGGGGGAAGAAGTGGGATTGGACAGGGCAGCCCTTGACGCAGTCTCGGCCAGCCCAGTGTGGGGCTCCAGAGCAAAGACCGCCTCGTAGGAGAGGCCCACAGTGGGCAGCAGTGGCTGGGCCCTGGTACCCCCATGCCAGGCACTGGCTGGGCCACTCGGAAACAGTGTGACATCGGCCCAGGGGGCTCCTGAAGGTGCTGACAGCTGGAGGCCGTTAGCTAACTGCTCTCCTGGCCGATGGACAGCAAGTGCCTTACAGAGAGAGATCTGCATGGCACGCCTCCATGGCGCCTTCCTTGTTTATTCAGTGGCCAGAATATTCTACAAAACAGCAACCGAACCAGCAATGTGGCATTGTGTGAGCCAGACCACCGGCTCCCTGACAGGCCAACCATTGTTTTCAACCTGAGCAGAAAGAAAAGGCTCCAGTTTGGGCCAACTGGACAGTGGCTCTGAGAGCTGGCTCGGTGGTGGGCGAGGCTGTGCCTGGGGCCTGCCTGGGGCAATCCTCTGCTTCCCCAGGGCTTCAGTTTCTCCATCTGTCAAAAGAGGACGTTGGCGTCAAGGGTCCCTGAGGCCCCTCCCAGCTCTAAGCTGACTCCACACCTGGCAGCCCCCAGCTGTTCCACCCGCTTTTCCGCGGAGGCGATCCCACACGGCCTTTGCTCCTCCTATGATCAATCAATTGCCCATCTGGGGCAGCTGGGGTCTCGGCCAGCCGCCCCCAGGAGCTCCGGCGGTGATGTGTATCATATCGGTGGTTCCGGCTGGGAGCCTTGCGCACCAGATGGCCCACCCTGCCAGGGCACGGCCCTGCCACAGAAATGATGGATCTCCTGTCCGGTGGGACTGTGGGCAGGGCAGCGGGGAGGCGGCTCAGCTTGGCTGACCCCGAGTGCTTGCTGGGCCGGCAGGGACCTGCTGTGACCTGCGGGAGCATCTCTGCACGCCCCACAACCGAGGCCTCAACAACAAATGCTTTGACGACTGCATGTGTGCGGAAGGTGAGCCCGCCTCCCGGGGCGGGGAGTCCCTGCGCCCCGAGGACCACGAGACCCCCTTTCTCTTAGAAGCCAGCTCTGCCCTGAGCGGGGGTGGGGGGCAACATTTCCCAGCAGAGGGTGGGCTGAGGGGCCTGCGGCGAAGGAGAGGGTGGGAGAATCCTGGGGGAGCCGAGGACGTGAGCAAGAACAGCTTTGCACGGTGCCCTCCCAATCTGTGAACTCATTTCGTCCTGATCCCTGGCAGAGTTTCTCAGGTTTGCTGTTCTCACCTCTTGAAATACAAGCTGGCACCATCTCCTATGATCTGGAGGCGTGAGAAGGGAGGAGAGAGGGGGTATCTCTTTAAATGAGATCGAATCTGAGAAGGCTGCTGCTTTCACCCTGAATTCTATCCAGGGGAGGCTTTCCAAGTGAGATAACAGCGGGTGGGGATGGGCTTCCCAGTGCCCAGCGAGCGCAGGGAAGAACGCATTTGGCATTTGGCCGCTCCCTCTTTAACTCCTCTGAGCTCCCGCTGGAGCCATGCGCGCCCTCCCGCCCAGGTGTGCACAGGAGTGCCGGGCTCTGTGCAGGGCTCTGTGCTGGGGACGTTACTCACAGTAGCCCCTGTAATCCTCCCAACCGTCCAGAGAAGGCAGCTATTATGATCCCCATTTTACACATGAGCAAACTGAGGCACAGAAAGTTTAAGTGACTTGCCCAAACTCACACAGCTAGAAAATAGGGGAATACTTTTAATTTTGTATCCTGAAAAATTTCAAACATACACTAAACTAGTCAGAATTGAGGTCAGAAGAATGAGCCCGCGTTTCTCATCACCCAGCTTTGATAATTAGCCACTCCCAGTCGATCTGTGTGGTCCCTCCCCGATCCGGTTCCCCGACTCCCATTTGATTTTGGAGCAACCCCTGTGAGTTTACAGATATTTCATCTGTGAAATTTCAATATACAGCTCTAAAAGATCAGTACTCTTTCAAAAACAAAATATCAAAAATGAACGATAATTACTCAATATCACTCAATATCCAGTCAGCGTTCATGTCTCCTGAGTGGGGGAATTTGGTCTCAGTTAACCGTCCTCTGTTAACCATCCTGAGATGCAGGCCCTATTCTTGCTCACATTAGCTTCAAAAAGTATCTGCTGTGAAAGCCATAAAGCTACTCAGGTCCAGGCAGTCACTCATCCAGGCACTAAGCACCGTTTCTCGAGGGCCTGCTGTGTGTCAGGTTTTGCTCTGGACGCTCAAGATTTGGCAACGAAGAGAACCAGCACATTCTGCACCCTGGGATTCTGTGCTGGTGAGATGAGCAGACGATAAGCAGAAAAATAGATAAGATGTCTTTGGAAAGTCATGAGGGCTGTCAAGAAAACAACCCAGGGGGGTCCGATGGGGAGTCTGGGAGTTGTTTTAGAAAGGATGGACAGGAGTGGACCGTGGACCCAGCCACCTGCAGAGGGGCGGGAGAGAGAGTCCCAGGCAAGAGGCAGGGGCGGGCGGAGGCAAGGCCCTTGGGCAGGAACGAGGTTGCCGCATTTGGGTGGGCCTGGCCCTCAGTGGCCGACGGGGGAGGAGGACGGGGGAGGTGGGAGCAGCCAGAGGGAAGATCACACAGGACCTTGTCAGCCTTGTCTGATTTGTCATTGGAAGCAGGGGGTTGACATGCCCTGATTTATGCCTTTAAAAGCTCACTCTGGGGGCCAGCCCGGTGGCGCAGTGGTTAAGTTCACACGTTCCGCTTCGGTGGCCCCGGTTCACCGGTTCGGATCCCGGGTGCGGACATGGCACCGCTTGGCAAGCCGTGCTGTGGTAGGCGTCCCACATATAAAGTGGAGGAAGATGGGCACGGATGTTAGCTCAGGGCCAGTCTACCTCAGCAAAAAGAGGAGGATGAGGATTGGCAGCAGATGTTAGCTCAGGGCTAATCTTCCTCAAAAAAGAAAAAGCTTACTCTGGCTGCAGGACAGTGGCGGGGGCAGGAGTGGAGGAATGGAGAGACGGAGAGGACCACCTGGGAGGGGAGGGATGGAGGCAGGGGTGGGGGTGGGGTGCTGGGGAGCGGCCTTCTGTTACCCGTGTGCAGGGGCAGGGCCCCATTCACAGAGCAGGAGCCTGAGCAGAGCAGGCAGGAGGGCACTCCAGTCCAGGGAGCCTAGAACGGTGCTGGGGCCAAGCTTTGGTCCTTGGCATCCAGGTCCAGCCCGCCGGAAGAGGGGATGTGGCCCTACCGAGCTGCACACCTGGTTGGTGCCCAGCGGGACACTCACTGGGTGGCCCCTCTGCCCAGGAAGCCTTCCTCTCTCCTCCCCGGGCCTCAGTGGGGGGGCGGGGGGGGCACTTTCCAGGGACCCGAAGGCCATGTCCGCATGCAAAGCCCATGCACTTGTTTCCTCTGATCCCTCTCACACGGGCTGGTCCCACCAAAACTCCTGCTTCCTCCTGGAGACACAGGCTCCAAACAAATGAAGAGGGGAAGTGACAGCCCGGGCAACTCATTCAAGATGGTCCAGGAGGAGGTTGTCACCAAGATGTCACACCAGAGGGATCCGGGGGATGCCAGGACCCTCTGGAGGACCAGGAGTCCTGCAGACTTCTGAGAAATCCTGCAATGTCCCAGGGCTGAAGTCCAGCAGTCAAGGCCAGCCTGGGTCCTAGGGGGTTCCAGGAGGGCTCCTGCTCTTGAATCCCCTGACCCTGCCCAAGTGGCACTGGTGTGGCCACAGGTCTGAAACCCAGTGACCCAGGTGCACATTCTAGGCTGCTGAGCACAAACTTCATAGCAGCCCCTTTGTTCTCTTCCTAGTGACACAAGTGGGTCTTAAACTAGCAACATCCTCTCTCTGTGGTCACTCCTAACCTGAGTTGTAGGGATTTCTCAGGCCACACTGACATCGCTTTCCTCCCCCATCAGGAGGATGTGGCCTTAAATGAAAACCACATCTACCCATGTACCTCAGGGGATGCCTGTGGCCGTGAGAGAGACGGCCGCAGCCAGGAATCCTGCACTGGTGGGCCAGGAGGGCCACACTTACTTTAATTAGGGTGGTCAGGAAGGGTCTCTTTGAGACCTGTAGGCTGTGAAGGAGCCAGCTACGCAAAGAGCTTGGGGAAGGGATTTCTGGCTGCAAGAACAGCAAGTGCAAAGGCCCTGGGGCAGGAAATGGCTGGGTTTATGAGGAAAAGCAAGAAGACTGAGTGTGGCTGGAGTTCGAGAGTGAGGAGGGGAGTGGGAGGTAAAGAGAACAGACAGGAGGCAGGTCCAGGTCCCAGACTGTCTTGTAAGCCAAGTAGGAAGTGTAGATTTACTTTTGAGTACAATGGGGAGCCATAGAGGTTTTTTAGGGGAGGGCAGAATCTGCATCCTTTTTAAAATCAATTTCAATAGACTATTTTTTAGAGCAGTTTTAGGTTGACAGAAAAATTCCACAGCAGAGTTCTCATGTACCCTCTCTCCCCCTGCCTTATCTTCCATTATCTTATCTCGCCTTAGTGTGCTATACTCTTTGCAACTGATGAACCAATATTAACACATTATTAACTAAAGCCCATAGTTTACTTCGGTTCACTCTTGGTGTTATACATTTCTATGGGTTTTGATAAATGTGTAACCACATGTATCCACCATTAAAGTGTCACACAGCATAGTTTCACCGCCCTAAACATTCCCCGTGCTCCATCTGGCCACCCCTCCCTTCCCCTCTGATGAGTCTTTTTAAGCTCAACCAGGCTGCTGTGCGGAGGGCGGGTTGGTTGTATGGCAGAATAAAGAAGGGGGGTGGTGGTGAGAGGGTGCAGGGGGTCCTAGAGGGTGCGGGGTGGGGTGGGGGAGGAAGGGGAGGGGACTGGCCTGTCGCGCCCCTGACCCCCTGGCCTCCCTTCGCTCAGGGCTGCGCTGCTACGCCAAATTCCACCGGAACCGCAGGGTCACACGGAGGAAGGGGCGCTGCGTGGAGCCCGAGACGGCCAACGGCGACCAGGGATCCTTCATCAACGTCTAGCGGCCGCGCGAAGCGCCTCCCCACCGGCCTGGGGACTGAGCGCCGGAGGTTTGGAGCAGCCGGGCAATTTGTTTTTACTTAGCAGCGGGTGATCAGACGGGGGACCAGATGACTGAGGCTGCAGGCTCAGGCCCAGAACGCCAGGAGGGGGGCCCAGGAGCCCCGCAGCGGCACGCCTGCGCCCACCCCCTCCCCGGCCCCGGGGGACCCACAGGGCGGCCGGCGCGTCCCGGGGTCCCAGTTCTCCGCCGTGGCAATGTCGAGAGTGCCCTCTACTGTCCGACCGCAGCACGGTAACAGCTTCGAGTTAAAACGTGAACAGGTTTTTGAGTAGAAAAGAAATGGAAACTCCTTGAGAGATGGGGCAAGGGCAGGAGATGAATATGGAACACCTCCTATGGACCAGGCACTGGGCTAAACGCGGGGCACACGGTATCTCACTTAGTGGCCAAATGATCTTTTAAAGTAGGCAGTGTCGCCATTTTACAGGTGAGGAAACTGAGGCAGGGTTAGTTTTATGACTTGCCCAGGGTTCCAGATCAATGCTCCTCAGACCTTACCCTGTGTAAGAATCCCCTGGGGGTCTGGTTAAAATGCAGATTCCAATGCAGTCAATGTTGCATCCCGAACAAGCTCCTGGGGCTGCCGGTGCTGCTAGTCCGGGGGCCCCACCGGGAGTGCCCCGGCCCAGGGGGTGAATGGTGGAGCTGGGGTCCAAACTGGGCCAAGCCTGTCAGGCTCCAAGCCCCGCGTTCTTGCTCCTACTCCACATCCAAGGACTCATGCCCGGTTCTCACGGCGTTGGGCAAGGGAGACCTGTTCCCAGGGTTCCTTCCTGTGGTGAAGGCTGCAGGGACTGGCTGTCCTCCTCCTTCTCCGGACAAAGGTGGATCATCCTAGACCCAAACAAAACATGTCTGAAGCACTGCCTGCTTGCAAGGCGAGGTCTGGGCGACTGGCGCCTGCCCTCGGGGAGGTGGTATTCCGAGATACGACGTCTTTGGGGGAAACGATGATGCTGTGCCTTCTGTTTCTATGGCCCTGCTCACCCAGTCCTGGGACACGCGCTTTGGAGTGGCCCTGATACCTCCCTGCAGGGGTTCTTTAGTTTTCGCAGTTCCTGCCCTTTGAGAATTGAATGCAAGCGTGGACTCAAGAAATACACACATTGCCCATGTGCGTCTACTTTGCATCATCTTCGTGGTTCCCAGGCCCCCCACACCACACTTCTGCAGCAGAGCCCACTGCTGGGGCACCTCTGAGGTCAGGGTGCTGTCTGAAGCTAACTGCCGCTCCCCCCCACCCCCACTGGCCAGACCCATGATGCCCACCCAGAACATCTCTCCCAGCACATCTGCTGGGACCACCTCAGGAGAGCCACTTACATCCCCCCACCTGGCATCTCACTCCTGGCCAACCCTCTGGTCCAGGGGGAACCAGGTTCCAAATGACAAGAGCCTTCCCCATCCAGATTCCCTGCTGGCCTGGACCCCTGCCGGAGGGGCCACGCCCTCAGGGGGCCAGGGCTGTTTACTCCACTGGGAAAATCAGTGGGGTCAGGGGTCTGGCACCAAGGAAAGCAGAAGGATCTGGGAGAAACCAAATACGCTTGTTCTTTTCTCCCTATGCCAGTTCAGTGGGCATGGGAACCTCGGGGGGCGGGGCAGGGGAACTGAAAGAGATCAAAGCCGGCTGTTTGGAAATCGAATCCGCCGTCAGTTCTGTCTGTTTGAGACCAGATAACGCCCATGCTGAGTGTGCCTCTCAGGGGGTGGCTGACCCGAGACTGTGATAGAACCCTAAGGAGGTGGCTGCAGGTGGGGAACCAGCATTACTTATGTCAGTGGCAGCAGTTAGCTTGGCCCTGGGACATCAGCCACGGAAACACAGAAGGTCAGGACAAAGCTGAAAGTCCGCACAGAACCGTCACTGCCTCCCAGGGGAGTCCCATGGTTAGAAATTCAGGGCCCATCTCTGCCCTAGCTCCCTCCATTTTGCACTTGCAAAGAGTGGGTGGGTGGAATCCTCTTAACTCCAGAGTTAGGGGTCCCAAAGCCCCCTCGGTGTTTAACAAACCTCTCTGGCAGGAAGTTCTTCCTTAGGTCTATCCTACATTTCTCTTGCTGGTACAGAAGCCAATTTCCTCTAATCCAGGGTTCAGCAAGCTTTTGCCATAAAGGGCCAGATAAATATTTTAGGCTGTGTTCCAATAAAATTGTTTAAGGACACTGAGATTTGAATTTTATATAATTTTCACTTGTCACAGACTGTTATTCTTCTTTGGATTTTCTAAAACGCATTTAAAAACGTAAAAACTCTCTTAACCGGCAGACCACACAAAACAGGCAGTGAGGTGGGTCCGGCCCTCGGGCCAGAGTTTACAGATCCCGCTCTGGTCCGTGGTCTCAGCCTTGGCTGCACCTAAGAATAACCTGGAGAACTTTCAAAGGTGCTGATGCCTGGGGCCCACCTGCAAAGATTCTGGTTGAATTTGTCTGGGTTGCGTCTGGACTTCGTGTGTTTTCGAAGCTCTCCAGGTGACTCCAGCGTGCAGCCAGGCCTGAGACCTCTGCTCTCATCCTGCCCACTGTGGGAGCCCAGCAGGTGACAAACGGCCTCCTCCACCTCTCACCACTTTGGTGACCTTAGGAAACTTGGTTAAGGTCTCTGTGCTTTGATTTCTTCATCTGTCAAATGTGGATAATAATTCTCCCTTCACAGGGGTGTTGTGAGTAGTAGATGCCAAATCCTTATAACATGCTTAGACAGTGCCTAGCACATAATTTCTAGGATAATTGTAGTAGGTGTTTTGTTTTTTGACAGTGATCCATCACATACTCAAAAGATCATTGTCAAGTCACCATTCAGGCTCCTTCCCCAAAGTGTGTCCCCTGGAACACTGGGGCCATGAGATGCTCCACTGGAAAAGCGGGAATGGGGTTCTGTGGTCAAAGAGGTTTGGGGAACTGCTCTGGACTCAGCCCGAGGCGGCATGTACAGCTTCTGGACACTGAGGCAGAGCAGGAGGTGTAAGTGGCTTTGCAGTAACAGGCTCACGAGTTTCTAAAACTCCCACCCGGGGGAGAGCTGAGCAGGGGCCAAGTGGACATCAGTAGCTGCTGGCCAGTCACCTGCGCCTCCTGCATTCCTCCAGCGGGCGTCTCACGGCCATTCCCCAGGGACACCCGCGGTTCCCACGGGGCTACCTTTCCAAGAGTGGCTGCAGAGCTTGCTCAGAATGGGCAGAGGACCTGAGGACCAAGCCTCGTGGGAAAGTGACAGCTTCACTTGCCCCTTGAAGAGTGGCTGAGACACAAGTCAACCCCCAAAGCCACAGCCCCTTGCACCGCGGAGATGCTGCGGGGGGATCCTTACTTCCGGCCGTATTCATACACCCTTCAAGATCTCGCTTTGAGACGGACAGCACACGCAACCTGGAGTGGGATTCGCTTTGCAGCTGGAGAGACAGTAAACACGCACGTGCTCTGCCAAGAACATGTTTATAAAGCAACAGAAGAGCAGGGAAAAACGGGTGCTGGGACGGACAGTGGAACAGAACAGTCAACCGCTCAGGCTCCTTGTTGGGGCGTCACGGGGCCAGAAGGGGCACCATCACCTCTACAATGACCTCCGCCTCGTGGGAGGGAGTGGGGAGTGCGTGTGTGCGGAGGGGGGGCAACAGGAACCCGTGCTTTGCAGAACCAGGGGCTGGCCTTGCCGGGGGTGTATTTTCTGAATCGAAATCAGGACGGGTGCTCTGATGCAGGATCGGTGGCCTCTTCTGGGTGCCAGGGCCCTCTAGCCCCTCCTTACCTGTGGTGTGGTCCAGGACGGGCAGCGTGGCATCGCCTGGGAGCTTGGTAGAAATGTGGGATCCTGGACCCGGCTCCTGACCCACTGAATCAGAGTCTCTGGCTGTGGGGCCCAGCCATGAGGGTTTTAATGGTTCTCTGTCTGTGTACGATCAAGTTTGAGAGACACGGGGTCTAGGACACGGAGGAGAGACCAGAAATATTGGACATCAGGGACATTTGGATGATTCGGGCACATCTGCATTCAGATGTGAGTTGGCAGATCTGAGATCCGGTTTGCCCAGTTAATGCCCAGCAATGATGAACTTGCGGGCTCCGAGCCTTGCCTCCTGGCCGGAACTGGTCTTTATTTTTAGAGGAAACCAAATGGAGCACCTGGGCCTGGGGCCCTCAGTCACTGGGTTTTCTGACTCTCAGGAGCTTCCCTGGGGGGCTGTGGTTCCTTTACAGTGTGGGGCAGCAGGGGGAGGGGGGTGCCATGCCCTTGTGGTCCTGTGAGCCTGTTGCATGTGCTCTCTGGAGCTGTCAATAAAGAGATGATGATTAAGAAGCTGACTTGTCTCTCTCTGCCCCTCCAGGAGACGGTCTGTCTGTGCAGGCAGTGGGCATTGTCAGGGCCTGTGGAGGGAACTCTAAGCCTGGCACTTCCCCTGCCACTTCGCCCTCATTCACTCCACACCTTTGACGGGGTGTTCGCGCTGAGCTGAGCAGTAACAAGGCTGCAGGGCTCTGCTGTCCCCTGGACCTCATCATGGCCCTTCACCCAGACTCTCGGGTGGGAGTTTCATATTTTTATCTCCCTCCCCATGTTTGGGTTGGGACACTTCAAATCTCTTTGAGGTCCCAAAGAGATGACGAGGCTGTCACAGCATCACAAACGTGGAAGGCCGAGTGCAGAGAAAAGCAGATGCCAACTTCAGCGAAATGATCAAAGTGCCACCTGAAGCCAGGCCTGAGCAGGCTCAGATGCCATCCTGGGGAAGGGTGTCAACTGGGGAGGGGTGGCCTGGCTTGGCACGGGAAGGACGTCTCTTATCTCAGGGGCAGCTCCAGCCAGCACCGCTCGGCACCCTGACCAGGCCATCCTAAGCCCGGCTGATCAGAGCGAGGCTGCGTTTTGGCTCTCAGTGGCTCTGCACCCTAAGCCAAGGCAGGGCCACACCCTCATGGCATCCGGGGTACCCAGAGACACGGGATGTCCTTAAGGGCCTGATGTCCTTGTAGGGAGCTTCCTGTCCAGGCACCACCAAGGGACAGGCTCCTACAGCCTGGACGGAGGAAACTCTCTAATCCAGCGTTCCCCAAAACATGGCCCTGGGATCCCCAGCATTAGGATCCTCTGGGGAGCAAACCCAGGTTTCTAAGTCCCACCTGGGCCTCTGACTCAGAATCTCTAGGGGTGGGCTTGGGAATCTGCATTTGATAAGCCCCCCCCACCCCCCACCCAGGTTTGAGAACAGCTGCACCAAACCTTCCTGAGAACTCACTTTCCTCCCTGCTCAGGCCCCAGGGAGTTGGGGGACCTCCCTGGGGGTGTTCTGAGGAATAAGCCCAGAAGACCCCCCTTCATGTAGGCTTTGCAAGTCATAGCCTGTCTGTCCCAACTGCTCAACGCTGCCATTGTAGCCCAAAAGCAGGCGTAGATGCCACGGAAGCGAATGAACACAAACGAATGAGCACAGCTACATTCCAATAAAACTTTATTTACACAAAAGGGCAGTGGCTGGATCTGCCCACAGGCTGTGGTTTGCCAACCTCTGATCTATACCGCTGACCCCTGGTCAATGGTTACAGAAACGTCTGCTGGACTTCTAAAAACCCCTTCTGTCCGGAGATGTCGACTCGAACCCATTTCCACTAATGAGGGTCAGAGCAGTGCTGAAGCGAGGGGTCCAGACCAGTCAAACCCAAGGCCACGGGGATTTTGGCTCTTTGTGCTGGCAGCCTCATGCTGCCCTCAGGGGATCAGGCAGCTGGACTAGGGATGTATCAGCCAGGGTTCTCCAGAAAAACAGAACCAATAGGATATTTATATCTATATATCTTTCAATGTCTATTTATTTACATATCTCTTCTTTATATATGTATTTATACAGATTTATTTTCGGGAATTGGCTGACACTATTGTAGGGGCCAGCAAGTCTGACATCTGTAGGGCAGGCCAGGAGGCCAGAAACTCAGTCTTAAGGCTGCATTTCTTCTTTTCCAAAACCTCAGTTTTTTGCTTTTGAGGTCTTCAACTGATTGGCTGAGGCCCACCCACATTCTGGAGGATAATCTCCTTCACTTGAAGTCAGCTGCTGGTTAGATGTTGACCAAATCTGCAAAATGCCTTCACAGCAACACCTGGATTAGTGTGTGATTAAATCCTCGGGCACCACTGCCTGGCCAAGTTGACACAGAAAATTGACCATCACAAGGGGGGCTTCTGGAGTGCCACTCCCCAGCTTCGGCTCCAGATCACAGCACGGGACCGGTAGCGGAGTTGTGTTTGGCATATGGCAAAGCTCTGGGCTTCCTTACTACGTTGCCAGCTCGAGCATCAGGTGGCAGCAGTGGCCGCCATCTGTCATGGACATGGGCATGCAGGCCCTGGTGTGCCCAGACAAGTGTCTGCTCGGTGTCGAGACATGAATCCTGGTTGGGGTGGGGTGGGGGAGGGCGATGTGAACGGACATGTGACTGGATAGGCAACAGGTGCCCTTCATTGTACGCCCCCCACGATGGGTAACCTGAAACCCACACGTTTGTGCCAGGGACCAGGACAGGAAGCCTGGGCTCCTTCCACACTGGGGATTGGCCAGTGCAGCAGGGCACGTTGGTCAGCTCGGCACACCTGTCTAAACTGTCTCCCCGTGTCCCCGGCTTTGACCTTGTGTCAGTGCCTGGCAGGGAGCGGAACACATTCATCGGAATGCATCCCTGGCCTCTGTGTATTGAGCCGTGTCCACCACGAGAGGCAGCCACCCTCTTGCGTAGCAGAAAATTGTTGGACCCCATTCTGCAGAGGAGGAAAACAAAGGCACCAAGAGATAAAGGCCGCTTGTCCAAAGTGGTGCAGCTACTTAATGGCAGTGCCCGGGGCCCCACTCAAGTGTCACTGACTTGAAAACCTGGTTGTGTCCACCGACCCCATGTTGCCCCCGCAATGCCCCGAGTTTACGGAGCACCTGCCAGGAGTCGGTCACCTAGCCTCGCCCCCACCCCCACCCACTCCCCAGCTCACAGGAGCCCTGCTGCTCATCCAGGATCACCAGGGATGTGGTCAGGCTCCACAGGGCACAGGGGCTCTGCCGGACAGGCCTTGGCCCTGAGCTGCCAGAACCAAGGTCATGCACTGACCTTCAGGCCACCTCCCAGAGGGCTCCTCAAAGAGGAAGGGGGTCAGGGTTCCCTCCAGGTGCTTCCCAACTGGTGGAGCTATGGAAGCACGCTGCCCGACCCCTCTGCCTGCTTCCTCATTCTTCTCTTTTCTCTCCTCCCCGCCTGGGCACCAGCTCCCTCGCTGCCCCTCAGCAAGAGAGGTGAGACCTCACGGAGTCTGCCGCAGAGCCAGACCCGGAAGCCAGTGGCAGGGAGCCGGCCCAGCAGAAGAGGGTGAAAGCAAACACCGAGATAAACCCCAGCAGATAGCCGCCTCGGGGGCCAGCCGCGGGCTTGGCGGCCACAACCGGCCTGGTTTGTGTGTCTGAGCAGCCTCTAAGGCGCAGCCAGAGCCCTCAGATGCCTCCCTTGGAATTCCCACCCGTCCCCGTGGAGAGGCGGGAGGCCTGACAGAGGGAAGGAGGTGGCAGCCTGAACTTGGACAGAAGTGGGACAGAGGGACAGAACCGGGATGGGCAGTGGGAGGCGGGAGGCAGTCAGTGCACGTTTAGTGAGGGCCTGTGAGTGCACACATACACACATGTGTGTACACACGCGTGTGCACACGTGCGTCTAGTGACATAGAGAGGACTGCTGGAGTAGGATAAGGGGAAGAAGACAATGCCACAGGGCAGAGACTTAGACAGCGGCGGGGGGGCTGTCTTTGTCGTGGGCAATAGCCTCTCACATCCACATTCTTCCTGGCTCGTGTCTCACACAACCAGTTTCCTGGAATACAGGGCACAGGTAGCTTCCTTTTCTGCTTTTTTCACGCTCACCAAGGGGTCCACAGGGCATTCAGATGGGTTCTCTGATGCCCACCTTGAGTGCATGGGTCTCTGGAGGGACAGGGAAATGTCACTAAGTGTTTGGGGCCTCCTTGCCAGGATGGGGCGGGCCCAGCACTAATTTTCATAGGACTCTGATGAGGTGGCGAAGCAAGAGGGACATTAGGAATCATTGGCTGCACTTTAAGGCTCAGGAGGAGCATTCAAGGAGCCTGCCTGGGGCCGGTAAAAGTCGGCGGTGGATGCTGCTGCAGGTTCGAATTCTGTGCCATTGGGACAAATATTTCAGAATCAGCCCCCCTTCCTTCTGACTAGTCACAGAAACAAATGCCTCCTCTGGAGAGGGGGCTCTCACACCTCCCACAGTGTCCAGGCTCCTACAGAAAGCCCTGGGAGAGGGGACAGCAAATGGCCCACCCGACTCCCTGCACGCATGTGCTTCCCCACATGTGGGTCCCCTTCCTGACTCTGAGTGAACCGTGCTGCGGACACGGCCAATTGCACTAAGCAGCCGTAATGGCGTTTGAGACTTTCAGAATCTTGGCATCAGCCAGAGACCGGGCCGAAGGACAGGGGATGAAGTCTGGGAGCCCAGGAGAGCCACCCCGACTCCAATCCTCCAGGGCTCCGTTTGATTCCTTCACCTGCTCCAGCCCCCTTCCCTGCTGTCTTTAGATCACGTCTACAGATACAGAGACCAACACTGACAACCAAACGCCCAGGCCGCCCAACCCTGCCAGACCTCAGGGTGGGACACACAGCGCCGGCATGTTTGTGACGAGCTAAGCAGAAACACCGGCGGAAAGGTCTCCAGACCGAATCCCAGCTTTAATTCCTGTGCCACCAAGTGGACACGGCTCTGCCTTTCAGGCCCTTCTCTGACATGGTGGGCCCTGCTCTCTTACAGGTGCAGGTGACTTTTAGACAGTGTTTTGGTTCTTTTCTCTGCCTTGATTCTTCTGGCTTGATTTACTCACTTGGGGAAGGAAGTGGCTGGACCACATCAGAATTGTTGGGTGTCCACTACAGTGTGGACTGAAGGACAGCTGGAAATCATTGCAAAGCCTTTCCCTTTTCAGTGCCTCCTTTGTGCCTCACACAGCCCGGGGAGTGACTGTCACTATCCCCATTTTCTAGATGCAAAAAAAAAATTCATAGAGATTAAGTGCTAACCCAAGGTCACCCAGATACAAAGTGGCAGCACTGGCGGTGGAGGCTGGGGAGGCAGCAGCATGCAGAAATGCTGAGGTCGGTCTCCCAGGCTTTGCTAGCGGGAAAGGGGCATGAGCATCGTCTCTCCGTCTCATCTGCTGCTCCAATCCAACAGGCATTTATCATGGGTCAGGAGATGCTGAGAGCTGCTGAAGGATGCTGTATTCTTTCAGAGCAGCAGCGCAGATATTTGCTAACTGAGCATTTATGAAGTGCCAGGAGCTGTGCCAGGCTTGCTGTGTGAGTTATCCCATGTGATCCCCACAATTACTCTGAGGCTTGGCACGGCTAGATAACTGGCTCAAGATCCCTCTGCCGGGAGGAAGCAAGGCAGGGATCTAAAATAGGCCTTTACCTAAAGGACACAAGCAACCATGAGAAAGAAATGGCTTCATCAGCCATTTGCATGACCAGTGGCATGGACCAAATGGCTTCCGGGGCAGAGCCTGGACTGTAGTGGCATCCTGAGGACAAGCAGAGAGGTGGGCGGCAGGTCCTCCAGGTGCCCCTGATAGGAGGAAGCAGTACACGCATGTTGTTCAGCTGCTACACGTCAGTCAATTCCCTGAGCATCTACTGTGCACCAGGCACGGGGCGGAGTGTCAAGGTCGAAGACCCTCCGAGGGCTTACAGTTTAGTTGGGGGGACAGGCAATAAACAAGTAAACAAGTAAGTTGAAAGGACAAGACCTTGATAAGTGCTACGAAGATAGTACAACCATCTTGGAAAACAGTTTGGCAATTTCGTAAAAAGTTAAATATACACCTGCCACACGATCCAGCCATTCCACTGGGATATTTACCCAAGTAGGTAACTATTTCCTGAATAAATGAATGAATGAATGAATCTATTCCACATGTCAGTGTCGGGAGGCACAAAGATGAAACTTGACTGAGACAGACAGGATTGGTGAGGGACATGAAAAATTTAAACTTGAATTCCAAAATGTACTCACTGAAAACATGACCCCAAAGCCTTGTGGAATGTGCTTTGTGAGGTCCCTGTGTCCTTCCCTAGTCAGGACTGGATCTGGCTCCTCTGAGAACGCAGATAGTTTCTCTTTCCTTTGTTCTTCTGGCCGCTCCCCTACCCCCAGCCGGCTCTGCCCCCTCCCCCGTGCCTCTGGCCCAGCTGGTGGGGATGAATTCAGGGTCACTGTGTGAGCTGCAGGGACAGTCCACAGACCCAGCCTTGTGCTTCCTTCAGCTCCAAGCTGTCTTTCCTCCGTGCCTCACTCTATCCTTTGGGTGTCAGGCTGTATTCCCCTGCAGTGTAGCCTTGGAGCTGAGCGGGTCCCGGAGCCAGACTTCGGTCCCCAGGCCGTTTCATACCAACTAGTGGTGTGCCTTTGGGCAAGCCTCTTAAATTCTCTTCGCCTTAATCACCATTTTGTAAATCAGGATAAGAATAGTATCTACACCAGGGGGTTTTTGTGAGCATTTATTATGAAGCACTTTTCACGCTGTCCGCCACAAAATAAGGACTCAATAAATGTCACTCTAATCCCAGAAGGTGTTGTGCATTTTCTCCTTACAAGGTGAGCACGGTTTTCTTACACACCTAAGGCTTGGATTAAACACCTCTAGGATCTGGGGTGGATGGGGAATATTTCTTAGAAGGAGATTGATAAATAAGAATATAATAATGTTATAATATCCACCACTTATTGAGGAATTACTCTTTTCTAGGTACTCTGCTGATAACAATAGTTAACTCATAATTAATAATAAAAATAGTAGTCAACCCTGATTTAGTGCTTACTGTACACCAGGCACCATTCTAAATGGTTTTCGTGTATTCACAATCCGATCAACCCTTTGAGGAAGATCTCATTATCCACATTTTACAGATGAGGAAACTGAGGCACAGAGAGGCAAAGCGACTTGCCCAAGCTCAACCAGTAAGTGGACAAAGCCAGGACTCAGACTCCTGTCGCTCTGGTCTTCAGCTAGTCCTCTGTGCTCTAAATCCTGAAAAGTCAAACTAGATGTGGCCTTTTGGCACGTCTCTAACGCGGACCAACCCTCAATGACAACGGCAGATGCTGTGCTGCTCTGGCCCCTGGTCTGGAGGGCTGTGTTTCCAAACGGGCCATTAAACTGGCGGGCGGGCCTTCCAAAGTCCCCTCCTCGCCCATCCAGAAGAATCCTTTCTTGTTCCTGGAGAGAGCATGGGTGAGACGAAGAGCACGTTGATATGGTCTCAGGACACACCCAGTTTGGCATGTTTCCACGCGGTTTCTCCCCTCCTGAAAAGAAGAACAAACACTCATGTTGACGCAAATAACCCATAACCAATCTATAGATCGAAGTTGGAGTGAGTTTATTATGAGCCAGATTTGAGGACCATAGAGCTGGGGAGAGTCTTTCCACAAAGGAATGGAGCTCTCCAAAGAAGTGGGGGTGTACAGAGTGCTTATATACCGTCAAAGAGCATCTATCACATATGATTGAAATGTCCCTTTTACAATAGTCACCAGATTGTGACTGATGGACACAGCAGGTGGCAGGTCTGTTGTCTCGAGCTGGTGGTCACAGGTGAGCACAGCAATCAATTCCTAGCCTAGGGAGAGATGCTTATCCTTAAGGAAATGCCAATGTGGGGGAAGTTGTACCTTTATCTTAAGGGCATTTGTTCTTGCCTTTGGGACACAGCACATGCTTAAAGCAGATATACAATGCATGCTCAGTGGCCACGTCAGGCCCTTTGGGAAAAAATAAGGTTAGGCCGAATTAGTTTTACACCAAATGGTTTCCTCATATACTCCAATATATCCTATTGTTTGCTGTTTGTTTATACTCAGATGGACCCCCAGGGGACCCTCACCCCCAATGACTCTAAAATGAAGGCTGATGTTCTCCAAATGAATGTTTTCTCTGGTTATGGTGAAGGATGGGATGGGGAGGAGGATGGAGGTAGTAGGCATTAACGTTTCTCTTCTGGGGTGGGGAGAGGTCAAGAGTCTTTAAGAGAGATACCAGGTGAGACAGACCTTTTGTTCCTGAATTCCTTCCATTCACAGCCGAGGGGCAGACAGTGTGTTGATAGAATCTTTTTCTTCTCCAGTCTTCTTCCTTCTGGAGACAGGTGTGTCCTATAGGTTTTCTGCTTGCTTTTCAGCTACATTTGTTCTAAAGCTTCTGGTATGTTGACTCATGCAGGCTCCAAGCAGCTCGCCTCTTGTGTGCTGATGATAACAATATCTTATGTGTAGTCCCCATTTACTGACTGCCAGGCACTGTTCTGGGCACTTTACCTTGACAAAGACTGTATCCTTGACCAAACCTTAGTAGGCTCCTCTGAGCCCTCTTCTTGACTAGGCCTCGACCTTGGCCTTCTATGTCCCTCCTGTCCTTGGTAGGTCTGCACTGCCCAGTTTTAGCAAGAATCTTGCTAAGTCGGCTTAGTGAGAATCCCCCACCTTTGATCTCTGATCAAGTTTCTCACCCCCCACCTTTGATGTCTAAGTCCCTGGCCTGCCTTTAGCAAGAATCCTGTTGGGTCAGTTAAGCAAGAATTCCCCTCTTCTTGCCTCCTCTTAGTAATTTTCCATCCACTGACCCCTTACTCTGCTGCTTGGCTAGAAATCCCCACTTGTTCTTGCTGTCTTCTTGGAGCTGAACTTGACCTCTCTCCCCTCTTGCAATATCCCAATTGCAATATTCTTGAATAAACTCTTCCTTACCGTTTTAACCAGTGTCAGAATAATTTTTTCTCATCAACATGAATCAGTTCATTTATCTGCACAAGGATCCCATGAGGCAGGTATTGTAAATGTCTCCACTTTAACACTCGGAAGGAGAGAGGATGCCCCAGGGAATGAGACATCAGCTGTTGCCCCATCGGCAGTTTGCACCTGGACGCTCCCCCCAGTTCTCCTGGATACACGTGGTCCCATCAGTCCACCTGCTGGGATATTAACCCAGCAAGACATCGCGCCGTTTGCGGCAGAAATCCTGATCGTTCTCCACCCGCCCCTGGAACTGCCTGGGCAGCTGCTACTGAGCCGGCAGACCGACGCCGTCTCCTAGCAACCGGGCCTGGGTCACGTGACCCGCTTCACGTGGGCCGGAGTTGAGCTGGGGTTGGAGCTGGAGCTGCGGCTGCGGGCGGGGCGGGGCCGGACAAGTTTGTTTCCCGAGTTCGGAGCCCAGGAGCCGCCGCGGCTGTCGCGCAGGTGCCCTCCGTCTTGGTCGCGATGGAGCTGCCCGCGGTGAACTTGAAGGTGGCGACGGGTGGGGCGGGGCGGGGGCGGCCACGCCAGAGGCGGGCGGGCGCGGGGCGGGTCTCTGGGAGTGTGTTGGGCGTTTGGCCTTTTAAAGAAGGATTTTAGAGGCGAGAGGACCGAGAGTCTGGAAAGAAAGGTGAGAAGGAGGCGGGCAGAAAGACCATAGCATGTAGAGAGATCCAGGAAAGGGCCAGCTGGGAAGACCGAGAGGGTCCTGGAGGCGGTAGGGGACGGAGAGGGCCGCCCCTTCCCGAGGACAGACCCCTCCAGTTGGGAGCGCCCGGCCCCCGAGGATCGCTTTGGCCTCTGCGCCCAGAATTCCCCTGGAGCGGGAGGAAGGCGAGGTGGGAGGCACTGAGAGCCGGAGGTGGGGCTTGGAGGCGGGACGCCTCCCCTCCTCCCAGACAGAGGGGCTAGATCTGCCACCTGGACTCCCAGCACCGCCCCGGTAGCCTCCTGTGTGTGCTAAGTCTGGTTAAGAAAATCAGATGTTCCCAGACAAGTGGATTTCTAAAGTTTATAAATATAGCGTCGTTGTTTCCTAACATACACAAACTCCAATAGAAGTTACTTAAAAGCAGAAAACCCCAACTTTGTGCACTTCGGACAACACTGCGGGGCTTCCTGAGATGTCTTCATTTCCTGAGCTGATTTCTTAGCTGTCAAGATGCCAGAGGCTGTTCTTCTTTTTCTCCCCGCCACCCCCAGCCCCGCTGTGCTTCTGCCCTCTGTTTGGCACAGGGGGGCTGGAGCCTTCAGCTTTGGCCAGAAAGCTGTGAACCTTGGACCAAACCTGCCATCTTGGGTCTCGCTGCAGGCTCTTTCGAGACCATAACCAGGAAAGCCCTTTTACTCAGGAGAGACAAAGCTTTTAGCACCCGTGGTGTCAGGTACGAAAGGAACCAAAGAGAGAATGACTACAAAACAACACATCATCCATATTTGGATGTTAAACATGGTCTGTGCTATGACCTCACCTGGGAGATTTCCCTTAATCCGACTTGCTTCAGCAAACCTCTCGAAGCTTCCAGTTAACAGCTGGGGGGAAAGTCGGCTGGAGATAAGGCAACGGGCTTGGGTCGAACATTTAGCTGGGAAGAATTTACGTGAGGACCACTGAGATTTGTGTTATTCATACTCACTCTGTTCCAGGCAGTGTAGGGTTAATGCCCACTGCCTTTTTCTCTGATTAGAGATTTTGCTAAGAGGGAATCAGGTGAGGGACGGAGCTGCAGGAGTTGAGAGGGCAGAGAGCCCTCATCGTGGGGCGTCTGTGGTGTGCCAGGTTATTTATCTCATCACGACAGCCTCCTGAGAAAGCTGATATTGTCATCTTTTTACAGATGAGCAAACTTCGGCTCAGATCAAGTCAGTAACTTGCCAAGGTCCCACAGGGATTAAGTGGCAGAGTCAGGCTTTGAACCCACCAGGGTCAGATTTCAAAGCCTTGTCCTTTCCTGGCCAACAGTTGGTTAGGGCTGACTTCTGCCTCGACACTTTACTTCCAATGGGAGGGTTTAGTCTGTTTAGAGCAGCTTTATGGGCGTTGCCAGCCACAGGTGTGAGCTGTGCTGGCTTTCAGTGCCCAGGATGAAACTGGCTGGTCCCTCCCTTGACTTGGGCAATAGGACCCCCATGTCTCCAAGGGTCTTAGCTGCTCCCCGTCAGAAATGAGTAAGTGCTGGGAGGCCCTGAGGGGCTAGGATTGCCAGGTAACATACAGGACCGCCAGTTGAATTTGAGTTACAGATCAACAAGGAGTAATTTTTAAGTATAAAGATATCCCAGGCAATATTTAGGACATAAGTAACAAATTATTCATTATCTGAAATTCAAAATTAACTGGATGTTCTGTATTTTTTTCTTTTTAAAGAATGCATTTTTTTTCCCTCCTACCCAAAGCCCCAGCACATAGTTGTATGTTCAAGTTGTAAGTCCTTCTAGTTCTGTGTGAGCCGCCACCATAGCATGGCAACTGACAGACGGGTCAAGGGTGTGGTCCCATGACCAGGAAGTGAACCCGGGGCCCCCGAACTGGTGAGCCCCAAACTTTAACCACTAGGCCATCAGGGCTGGCTCTGTTCTGTATTTTTGTTGTCGTTCGATCTGGCCACCCTAGGAGGGCAGCTGTTGACTGCTTGCTCATAGACACTTGAGTTGGATATTCTGAGGTCAGAGCCCCTTGGGAGCTGGGAAAATGCACTCTGTCGCCCTGGGCTCCCTCCCACTCCCTCATGTCGTACATTCCTTGGGCGTTGACTGAATGCCTGCTTGTGCCCAGCCAAGCCAGAGTGGGCAGTGGTGCCAGGTGAGAAGAAACAGCTGCCCCAGGCCCTTTGCACAAAGGGCAGTCCCTAACTGAGCCCCTCCAGGAGGCAAGTCCTAAGTTGTGGGAATGACATCGTGACAAGCTTAGAAAGGACTTCCTTGGGTTCATGAGGTCTTGTGAAAAAGGCTCATGGTAGGAGGGTCCAGGGGGTCATGGAGCATTAGAGTTAAGAACTGGGAGAGCCACCTTCCTGACCATAGTAATAAGGACAGTGCGCCGCGGGCTGACTCCCTGGCAGGCACGGTGTTGAGTGTTCCACGCACCTGTCCACTTCCCTGCCCCACTGGATCCGCACAACAGCCCTGTGACACGGACAGGAGTGTCCCTATTGTACAGAAGAGCAAGCAGTGTTCTGAGAGGTCAGGTGGCTTCCCAAGGTCACACAGCTTCTAGGTCATGGAAGAGGATCAGATCCATGTGTTTGGCTCCAGTCCCCATACAGTTAGCCGCTGCCTGAAACTGCGTCTCTTCTGTGGCATTTCTGACTGGTGTCCCTTAGCCTCAGCCCCCTCTTGGGGACCTTCCTACCTCCTGTAAAAGGTCACCGAGTGTTTGCACAGGACTGGTAGGAATATGTTCTGTGTACTGATCTGTATGTTCACCTTAGGTCTGTCCACCACCTGTCTGGGAAGGTCCCCTCCCAGCCCCCAACAAAGGGTCTAAGTCCTGGTCCACGCAACCCCTCAATTCCCCTCAGGCATCGCTTCTCCGGGTTAAACCTCCTCATTTCCATCCACCCCGCCCTTGCTATTCCAGATCCTCACAGTGGAGCACAGAGGGTAGAGCACGGGCCTTGGGGCCAGACAAGCTGCATTCAAGGCCAGGCTTTGCTACTTATTAGCTGTGTGACCTTGAGCAGGTTTCTTAACCTCTCTGAGTATCAGTTTTCTCACTGTAGAAAGAGGATAAAAATAGGCCCTGCCTTCTAGGGTGAAAAGAGGAGGATCCTGTGGTCTAAGGGGGTGGTGTAGCATTACATTTTGGTTAGCATAAAAACCCCGACCAGGTAGACTGAGTCTGAGGTATGCATCTGGGCTGTCTTGTTTATAAGCATTACCGTTTGGGACAATTAATCTTTCACAGCCTCAGTTTCTTCAGAAGTAAAACGGTGGCAAGGATGATGTGAGCCGAGTGTTCAGGGCCGTGTAGACACGTGGCAGGCAGGTCCTCCTCGGCAGCAGGAGCGGCTGTTGTTGGAGCTGTTGCAGGATGCCTGTCCCACACAAGAACTTGTGGTTGTTGGGGCCAGCCCCATGGCCAAGTGGTTAAGTTCGCTCGCTCCGCTTTGGCGGCCCAGGGTTTTGCTGGTTCAGATCCTGGGTACGGACGTGGCACTGCTCATCAGGCCACGGTGAGACGGCGTCCCACATGCCACAACTAGAAGGACCCACAACTAAAATATACTACTATGTACTGGGGGGATTTGGGGAGAAAAAGCAGGAAAAAAAAAGGAAGATTGGCAACAGTTATTAGCTCAGGTGCCAATCTTTAAAAAAAAAAAAAAAAAACTTGCGGTTGTTAAGTGGATGTATACAGTGACTGTCAGAGGCCTGTCTGTGATTATGGCACCCCCGTGGGATGTGTGGGTGATGGGTGCTGCCTCCATGTCACAGAGAAGGATCCTGGGGCTCAGACACAAAAGGACATGAAAGGGACCAGAACCTGGGTCTCCTACCCCCTAATCCAGCATCCTGCGACCCCCTGCCGCCTTAGCCCACTGGCCCTCCCCTCCCCTCTCCCAGTCTTCTGACACATTGGACGCTGACTGGATGCGCCCCCTTGACCCCCTGCCCCCCACCACACAGGCCGAGCACTGTATGAAGAGTCCAGGAGCTCAGGTCCTGCTTTCCTCTTTCCAGCTGGCAAGGTCAGGCTGCCCAGGCACATCCTCAGATCCTGGTTCCTCCCTCCCCCGATTAGCTCAGGTCCCTGCCCTGTTCCTCCCTCTCTCTGGCGGCACCTGAGAATCCCAGGTGTGCCCTTGGTTACTGGAAACCTCCCCAGAGCCGGCAGACGGTTCTCTTGTGCTGACTGCGTCACCGTTCCCTCCTCCCAGGGCTGTTGGGAAGGGCAGGGCCAGTTTGGCTGGGTTTCTTGTTGGAGCTTTCCTGGATATTAGACCTTTCCCGGCCAGGTGGGTGTGCCCTCCCATTACAAAATGGAGAAACTGAGGCAGAGGACACTTAGTCTTCCATGGGTTTCTTTCCCCAGGGGCTTAAGAGAAGTGGTCAAATGGAGCTCAGTTTCTTAAATATTTATAAAACGAAGTGATGCCGCCCAGAGGGGACTGTATGTCTTTGAGGACCTGCAGTATTTCCAGGTCATGCTCTTTTCTTCCCAAAAGAGACGGCAGGGTTTGCACCTTGGCCAGGCGCTCACTCTGTATTGCAGGCTTTTCCGGCTCCACCAGAAATCTTTGTCTCACAGGTTACACAGAGTCACTTCCCCGGGCTTCCGT